GCTTTTGCTGCTTATTCCAGAATTTTTTTTAATTCCTTAAACTTGTATTTAAAACTTCTTTCACTGAGGATTGAAGGAGACGGTTCCTAATAGCTGAAAGGCAGTTAATAAGCAATTTCCAAAAATGATTAAAAAAGGAAATATGCGAACCCAGTGTTCTTTCAAGGCGCTGATCGCAGACTGAGCAAGATGGTTATTCCCTTGTCTCCCAGAGCCCTTAATCCACCAGAGAGCCATGTCTTGCGGTCTTCTTGCAAGGAGCAGCTGTCTGGAGCACTTGTGGGCAATCTCAAGTCCTCTCCTTGTCTGGAAATATCTTCAGTTCGCCATTTCTTCCTTGGAAGTCCAGTACAAACCTTAGTTTTAATGGGGAGGGGGGTATCTCACCAATTTATTTATCCTGTAAGGGGGTCACCATAATGTGAAGTTTGAAAAAAATGGAGTAGCTTATTCCCAGGTGAAGGCAATCCCTCTACACGTGCTCAGAGGCAGCCCTAGGTTAAACTCGGAATCAGTTGAAAGGGCTGGCTTCTATGCAGACCTTGGGGAGATCAGCTTTCCCATTTCACAGATGGGCAAACTGAGGCTGGACACCAGTGCCTCCCCTTCAGGCTTAGCCCTGAGGGGTCTCGGTTCTCTGCTCCCCAAGATGGCTTCTAGCCACAACCCTTCTTGGCTTCCTTGCTCCTCTTGGGGACTACCCCCTTCCCCCCCCAGTAACTCTTCTTTCTTCCCTCTGGCCCCTGCAGTGCCGCCTCCTGCCGCCCCGCCCGGGGCCTCCCCCCTTCAGATCATCCCTCAGTCCGTCTGTACCCCACCCGCTGATGCCAAGAAAATCCCACCCCCCACTCTGCCCAAGCCGCGTAAACCAAGTTAGTAGTGCAAACTCGGCTCACCCTCTGCACTTGTGCATGGGTCGATCCAATGTTAGCATGGCATTGGTGAGGTTCTGGCGACCCTGGCGGGTTCGGTGGCTTCCGTGGTTCGCAGTGAGGATGGAGGCACGTGTTTTAGCTGCAGAGGTCGCCTGGTGCTTTCAACGGATGCTTCAGGAGCCCTTGTAGGACCTTAGTGAGGTTGGGAGCTTGTCGCTTAGCCCTCCCCACGTCAGCCCAATCTAGATCAGTGTTCCTCAACCTCAGCAACTTTAAGACGGGTGGACTTCAACTCCCAGAATGGGTGGACTTCAACTCCCAGAATGG